AAACGGATGAATGAACTGTATGCTGAGAACAGGCAAAAGTCAGGGGAGGCCCTCCACACTCCTTAGACTTAACACAGGCTCCTCCTTCATGTCCTTCACGGGCCCCATCCGCTTCCTTTGAACTTGGCTTCCTAACTCAATAGGGGGTTCCCTCCCCTCCAACCCTACACTTCAGTCTCACCCATTTTTCCCAACAGGCTTCATCTGTAACCCCCCCTCACTCAAGTTGCATGGACATTTTACTATGTGCCAGACACTGCTGGACACTATATAAAACAGCCAGTGCCAGAGCTAGAAAGTGGTAGAGCTGGGATTTAGAACACTGACTCAGCAGGTGCTCTGCGGCCTCACCTGTGCCCCCCAGGCGCGACTCGATCTCGATGCCAGGATACTGCTCCTTCACGGCACTCGCCAGCTCCAGGTAGGTCGCCTCGAAGCCGCAGGGTTCACTAGGGAGAAGATACCTGAGGTCCGCTTGGGTTTCGGGGACGGTACCTCCGGTGGACCCACCCTCCTCCGGCCCGGATTCCCCCACTGGCCGGAGCCCCTCACCAGTACTCAACCACGATGCGGACCCCACTGCCCGGTTCGACCTCCCCGGGAGGGGGCGCTGAGGACGCCGGCCCTGTCTCCCCGCTCATTACTGCCGGCTCCCCACAGCAGCTGCTTCCGGGTGTGACGCGACGCCGCAGGCACGTGACGGGGCGGGGCCGCGCGTTACATCCGGGCGCCCCCTTCAGGCGGCTGCTGCTGCTTTGTTTTGACACTGTCACCAGCCGGAGAGCTGGGCTGCGAGGACGGGACCAGACCAACTTTCCTGGCCTGCGTTCTCAGCGCCCGACTTGCCCCGCACCTAGTGTCCGCTGGACTTCACGGTCTTATTTAATCTAATGACGTGTCTTAGACTGCAAAGCGCTTTCCAGTTTACGAAAGGAAGAGAAAGTGGGGCAAGCGGACCCAGGGCCTGGGGTGGGCTGATGGTACGGAGCAGTTGCCATTTCACACTAGTTGATGGCATTTTATTTTATTTTATTTTTAGTTAATTATTTTGGCTGCGTCGGGTCTTCGTTGCTGCCCGCTGGCTTTCTCTAGTTGCAGCGAGCGGGGGCTACTCTTTGTTGCAGTAAGTGGGCTTCTCATTGCAGTGGCTTCTCTTGTTGCGGAGCACAGGCTGTAGGCGCGTGGGCTTCAGTAGTTGTGGCACGTGGGCTCAGTAGTTGTGGCCCAAGGACTCTCGAGCGCAGGCTCAGTAGTTGTGGCGCACGGGCTTAGCTGCTTCTCGGCAGGTGGGATCTTCCCAGACCAGGGCTCGAACCTGTGTCCCCTGCATTGGCGGGCGGATTTTTAACCACTGCACCACCAGGGAAGTCCCACTGATGGTATTTTAAACCACTCCACAGTTACACACTCAGGTACTTCTCCTAAGCTCTAAACTGCAGGCACAGTCTGGGCAGTCGCCGCCAGCCTTCCGCCTTCTGGAACCTTAGGCTTTGATGCTTCGATTTCGCAGGCTCTACGCTGCCATCGCATGCATCCAGTTCCTGCACCTCCCCGTCTCATCCTAGCCCCGCTACAGAGCTGGCTTCTTTATTCCCGTCTTGTAACTCTAGAAATGGAGGCTGTCTCCCTGCCTCTACTCTCCTTGGAGTCTCACCATAATATCCTCACATTCATTTTTAAACAATTCGATGACTTATAGAGTTGTGCAGCCATCACCGCACATTTCCACCAACATGAAAAAGTCCCACCTGTGTACTTGCAGTCAATCCAGCGCCCGGCTCCAGCCCTAAGCCACCACTGATCTGATTTCTGTCTATAAACTTGCCTCTTCTGGATATTCTTATACATGAACTAATATGCAGTCTTTTGCTTCTGACTTCTTCCACTCCGTTTAAAGTTTTTGAGGTTCATCCATGCTGTAGCATGTACCAGTAGTCTGTTCCTTTCAGTGCTGAGTAATATCCCAATGTATGGATGTACTGTTTTATTTATCTGTTCAATACCAGTTGATGGACATTTTGAGTTTTCCAGTTTGGGGCTGTCTTGAGTAATGCTGCTATGAATGTTCATGTAAGTGTCTTTGTATGTGCATGTGTCTTTACTTGGGTAGATTCCTACGAGTAGACTTGCTAGGTTGTATGGAAAGTTTATGTTTATCTTAAGCAATGGTCAAACTGTTTTTCAAAGTGGCTGCACCATTTTACATTCCTACCAGCAATATATGACAATTTGTTTCCTCATATCCTTGTCAAGACTTGTTGTCTGTCTCTTTCATTATAGCCATCCTGATGGGAGTGAGGTGGTTTTAATTTGCATCGCTCTAATAACTAATGATCTTGAGCACCTTTTCATGTGCTTATTAGCCACTCATATATCTTATTTGGAAAAACACTTATTCAAATCTTTTTTTTTTTTTTGCGGTACACGGGCCTCTCACTGTTGTGGCCTCTCCCGTTGCGGAGCACAGGCTCCGGACGCACAGGCTCGGCGACCATGGCTCACGGGCCCAGCCACGGCATGTGGGATCTTCCCGGACCGGGGCACGAACCCGTGTCCCCTGCATCGGCAGGTGGACTCTCAACCACTGTGCCACCAGGGAAGCCCTATATGTGGATTTTTAAAAGTACGTAATACAGTACTACATGATCCAAGGTTGATAGAATCTGTAGATGGAAACTGGATAGGGAGGGCTGGCTGTAAAGTTATACTCAGATTTTCAACTGCTCAGGGGTCGTCGGTGCCCCTAACCCCTGTATTGTTCAGGGGTCAACCCTATTCTGGATACAAAGTCCGTAATCAAACATACGACTTGCAATTATTTTCCTCCAGTCTTCCACAGGTTTGTTTTTTTTTTCTTTTTTTTAAAATTTTCTTAATGATGTCTTTTGAAGTGCACAATTTAAAAATTTTGGTAAAGTATAATTTATAAATTTTTTCTTTTGTCATTTGTGCTTTTGCTGTTGCATCTGAGATCTCTGCCTAACACAAGGTAGGAAGATTTTCCTGCATAATTTCTTCTAGAAGTTTTATAGTTTTAGCTCTTACATTTAGGTCTATGGCCTATTTTGAGTTAGTATTTGTACATCGTATAAAGGAAGGATCTAAACACATCTTTTGGCATGTGGATATTCAGTTGTCCCAGAACCATTTATCAAAAAGACTATCCTTTTCCCCATTGAATTGTCTTGGCACCTTTGTCAAAAATCAATTGACCAGCGCTTCCCTGGTGGTGCAGTGGTTAAGAGTCCGCCTGCTGATGCCAGGGACACGGGTTCGTGCCCCGGTCTGGGAAGATCCCACATGCCGCGGAGCAGCTGGGCCCGTGAGCCATGGCCGCTGAGCCTGTGCGTCCGGAGTCTGTGCTCCGTAAGGGAGAGGCCAGAACAGTGAGAGGCCCGCTTACCACAAAAAAAAAAAAAAAAAAAAAAAAAATCAATTGACCAGGGACTTCCCTGGTGGTCCCGTGGTTAAGAATCCACCTTCCAAACCACGGGACTTGGGTTCGATCCCTGGCCGGGAAACTAACGTCCCACGTGCTGCAGGGCAACTGAGCCTGCGCGCCACAACTAGAGAGAAGCCCATGCTCTGCCAGGAAGAGCACGCGTGCCGCAACTAAGACCCAACGCAGGCAAAAATAAATAAATAAATAAATAAAGAGTTGATATTAAGAAAAAAAAATCAATTGACCAGAAATGTAAGGGGTTTTATTTGGACTCTTGATTCTGTTCTACTGATCTATAAATCTATTCCTTTTTGTTTCTTTTTTTATTTAAGAAATTCAGATATAATTTATACACAGTAATACACATCCTCTTGAGTGTACAGTTCTGTGAGTCCTGTTGTACGTCCACCCGAGATATACACATCTCCATTACCTCCTCATAAGCTCCTCTGCTGTCAACCCCTCTCACTCCTCCCCAACTCCAGATCTGCTTTCTGTCCTTAGCATTCTGCCCCCTCCAGAAAGTCATATAAATGGAATCCTATAGCCCTCAGCCCTCCGAGTCTGAGTTGGCTTCCCTCTCCAACCTATCCTTCAACATCCAGAGTGATTTTTCCAAAATATAAATCTGCCTGCTCCTCTGTGCCTCTACTTCAGCCCAGATGGACCCTGCAGGGTCTGGCCTCTGCCCATAGTTCCTGCTGGTCTGGACAGACAGGATGGATGGCTCGTAAACCCGGTTTACAGGACAACCACCCAAGGGCTTGTCAGTACCACACATTCCTGGGTCTTGGCCCCAGAGACCGAGATTCAGTAGTTGGGGAGGGGCCCAGGGATCTGTTTTTTTATACAAGCCTAGGGAGATTTGGAGGCCGTGGTCACAGGCCACGCTTTGAGAAACAGAGCTGAGTACAAAGCCTTTCCCCACACCTTCCACACCTGCTCAGCTGCACCTGTGTGGCCTCCTCTCCTTCCTTCTCCACCCCACTCTGCCTACGCATGCTCTGTCCCGTTTAGTCAAGGGCTTTGACATTTGTTCCATCATCATGAAAGGTGCCCCCCCCCACTTCCCATCCACCAATCCAAATCTCTCTGCCCCATACAACTTCCCTTCTGCTCAACTGTCACTTCTACAGAGAAGTCTTCCCTAACTCCCTGGGTAAGCCATTCTCCCAGCATAGTTGTCTCCTGTCATTTCTTTCTTTCTTTTTTTTAAGTTAATTAATTTATTTATTTTTGGCTGCGTTGGGTCTTTGTTGCTGCGAACGGGCTTTCTCTAGTTGCGGCGAGCAGGGGCTACTCTTTGTTGCTGTGTGTGGGGTTCTCATTGCAGTGGTTTCTCTTGTTGCGGAGCACAGGCTCTACGTGCACAGGCTTCAGTAGTCGTGGCTCGTGGGCTCTAGAGCGCAGGCTCAGTAGTTGTGGCACGCAGGCTCAGTAGTTGTGGCTCGCGGGCTCTAGAGTGCAGGCTCAGTAGTTGTGGCGCACGGGCTTAGTTGCTCCGCAGCATGGGGGATCTTCCCAGACCAGGGCTTGAACCCGTGTCTCCTGCATTGGAAGGCGGATTCTTAACGACTGTGCCACCAGGGAAGCCCTCTCCTGTCATTTCTTATTATTTGTGTGATTCTTTGATTAACACCAGTCTCCCTGATTGGGCTGCATGAAGATAAGGGTGGGGTCTGTTTTGTTGCTCACTGTATCCCCAGTGCCAAGCATGGGGTTGGCATATACTAGGTACTTAACAAATATTAGTTGAGTGGATGAAGGAATGATTGAGTGAGTTGTCTACTATGTTTTGCACAAGCTGTCTAGTGGCCCGGGTGACCGTGCCCCCTCCCCCACATCTTTGCTTAGTCCGCTCGTACTGGTTTTTCCAAGGAAAACACAGTTTGGAGAAAGTTGAGCCTGGAGCCACTCCTTCTTGGTCCCCCAGGGCAGACCTCTTATCACCCCTATGAATTGTTGGTTAACCCACTGTCACCCACTTGGGCTGGAAGGCGGCTGCTGCCTTTGATCTCAGCCTTCCAGGCCCTCTCTCCACCCTTGTGTTTGCCTAGTGCAGAAGGAGAGCGCTAAGGGGAGTCCCCTGGCACCTGGCCAGACCTTTCCCCAAATCACTCCTCCTGCTATTAGACCTTGCCTAACCCCTTCGATTTTAGAAGGGGAAGCTGAGACACTGGACTTTGCTTAGAAGGGAAGATATATGCTGGGTGCCTCTGAGGGGCCAGGGTGCAGTCTGGGTGGCCAGACTGTGGCTGGAGGTCGAGGGGCAGGCCATGTTGCTGGACTCCCTCTGGCTGGCTTCCCTCTTTCGCAGAGTGCCCTTTGCTCCAGGGGGGTAGGACCCTGAGCAGCAGACAGGCCCCCTAAATTGGCCAATGAACAGACCAGGTCTGGGGAGGGGCATGGGGAAGAGTGGGCTGAGCCATTTTCCCTGACTTTCCAGGCCCCAGCCTCTCCCTCCCAGGTCATGAGGATGCTAGATCTTCGCTCTCGAGGCAGTTCAGTTCGACTGTCTCTCCCCTGGCACCTGCTAAGAAGGACGAAAACAATCCCAGCCAGCGTAGAGCGTCAGGGAGTCCCCGCCCCTCCTCCTGTGCTTCCTCCTCCCCTGCCCCTCCTTCAGGCCCCGCCCCCACCTGCCCAGGATAATTTGTTTCCTTGGGCCAGGAGCCTGGACAACAGAGCTCAGCCTGCCCCCACTTCTGCGTCCAGTCAGGACACCCTCATGCCACCTGTAGAGAAGAGGGAGCAGATTTGAAATCAAGTCCAGGCATCTGATGTTCCTAGATAGAGCCGGACTTCGAACGCTGTGTCCTGCTACTCCTGCTGGGGCTCCTCCAGGTAAGGGGACCGAGATCGGTCCCAGACGACAACCTGCTCCCACCCCGCAGCCGCACCAGGGCCCCAGGCTGTGCCAGTCTCAGGGCCAGGAGCTGGCTGGCCGGATGCCCAGGTGGACAGGACGGGCGGCCGCCTGGCTCCCCCTCCCCTTCCCCCCTCAGTGATGTCAGGCCAAGGGCGGGGACAGGAGGGGGACAGGTAATTAAGGGCTAGGAGTCTCCCTCCCTAAACCGGTGGCCCCAGCCAGGTGTACCAACACCCAGGGTCCAGGTAAGGACCAGAGCGGGCATTTCATCTTGGGGTCGAGCAGATGCAGGATCAATAAGGAAAAAGATCTGGCCTCCTGCTGTGTTGCTCTAGCGGCCTTGCTTTCTCTTTCTCTCCAGTCTCCCATCCCGCCCCCTCCTCACCGTCTACCCCCAGTCTCTCCCTATGCTCACTTCCCGTTCTGCCTGGTCCTTCGTCCTTCTCCGCATCTCCCCCTCCCTAACCTCCCCTACCCCAGACACACTCAGGAACCAGCTGATGGGGTCGGGGAAGCAAGATACCAAATTCTCTCCCCGTGAAGACGCGGCTTTCCCGCTGAAACTAGCCCCTCCCCACATTCCCAGAAAGAGAGCTAGGAGAGGAGTCCGAATACCGAGGGAGCTGCCCCAAATCTCTCCCTAGCTCAGTCTGACTTGACCCCAGTTTGAGTTACCCCAAGTCTTTATTAAAGACAGACGTCTCCGCGGGGGCAGCGGGGCACCCACCAATTTGGAGGGCAGTGAAGGAGAGCTCCGTCTCTCTGGATTGTATCCTGACTCAGGAACACAGGGTCCTGCCCTCGGGTGGGAAGGTGGGGGTGGGCAGGCCCGGGGGACGTGGGGTGGTCTCTTCTGGCTTCAGAAAGAAGTGGTCTCGGCAGGCTGGAGGGCTAGATGTTGGGGGATCTGCAGCTCGGGGGGGCCTGGGAAGAGTGTGTGTGCGTGCGGGGCAGGGAGGGCTGCCTCGTCTGTCTGAATAGGCTGAGGAAAGACCAGGTCCGAGTCTGGGTCTCCCTGGCACGTTGGGGATGGAGAATGCACCTGCCCGCCATTGTCAGGCCTTGCAACCCCACTGCCCCTCAAGAATGCCCCCTCTTGGTCTGCCTGTCCTGGACTCTGCTCTCCCCTCTCCCCCTGATATCCTGCTGGGGAGGCCCCCCGTGAAGGCTAGCAGCCTGTAATGATTAACTCCACAGACACTCCAGCATTCTTCCCAAATTAAACTTTAAAAGAGCTGCCCCCCGGACTCCCATTGGGCGTTTTTTCCCTAGTTAGGGAGTGGGCGGTGCCTCAGGGTCCGTGGCCCTCCCCCCAGCTCCGGGTCATCTAGGGGTTTCCCGCCTCCTCACCTGGGTCCTCACCCTAAGGGCTCCCCCACGGGTTAAGCCTTTTCCCCCACACACACTAAAACCCGATGGGGGCGGGGCGTGGGGTCCTGGGCCAGGCCGGGGCCTTCCCGCCACCTCCCGGCGCTTCCAGCCCCTCCCCCTCCCCTGGGAGGTACCGAAGGTGGCCTTGTTTTCTACGGGCCTCTTACTGGGCCCTGCCACCCGCCCTCGGGGCCAGCCAGGTGGGGCAAGATTCTGGAAGTAAACAAGGAGGCTGAAGGCCTGGAGGACGGGAAGGAGGGTGGGGCCGGAGCCGCCGGGGCCGAGAGGCTGCTGGGGAAGCCAGCGCTGGGATTCGCAGTAATGAGGGGACAGATTGATTTGGGGGGTCGATTTCTTCAATATAACCTTCCCAGGGCCCCAGTTTGAAAGCTTCAGCTCTCTTGGCGATGGGGGTGGAGGCTGCCCAAGCCGGGCAGCTAGGACCCCGCTTCTGCTCCCTTTTCTCTTTGGTCCCCACTGCCCCGTGCCTGTCTTGCCTTAGAAGGGTCTGGAGAGCAGGGTGGAGGAATCTGAAGGCTAAACCCATCCTGAGTCAGCCTTCCTGCCCACAGAGGCCAGACTCTAGTCTGACTTAAATCTACCCTCTTCCCTTCCAAATGCTGCCCAGATTCCTCTTCCCTCTGGGATGGGGGAGGACCCAGTCCTCTGGGCCTCAGACCACCGCACTGGTGGTCTCTGGCTTCCTGGTGGAGGTAGCCCCTGCAGCCCCTCCCCTAGTCCTCCTTGGAACGAAGTCACCAGGGCTGGCTGCCAGAGGTTAGACGGGTACGAGTGGAGTGTTGATGTGCCGGTGTCTCTGGATGTTCGATGGTGGGTGTGTCTTCCCCTTCCTGGCAGGACCCCCCTGGCTCTCTCTCTCCTGGCCTTCCCCTGTCTGCCTGTCTGTGTCTGTCCTCTTGTGTGTCTTGACTTTCTACTCCTGTTCCTGAGTACACTTCTGGCCAGGACAGCCAGGAGAGTGTATTAATTAGAAGGACCCTCATCCCCCAGGGGTGATGAGTCTGAGCCCCATGGGCCAGCTGAGTCCTGGGTGCTAAGGGTGGGCAGCAGCAGCAGAATGAAAGTCTTAAGGGCCCCAGACAGGAGAGGGAGCACTGCATGTTTCTTTGGGTTACTTTGGGTGCACTAGGGGCACCCCTGAGAGGTCAGCTCCACTCCAGATGGGCTTCTGAATCCAGGCCAGGCCTTTCTTCTCTTCCTCCTGGGTGAGGGGGCTTCTGGGCTGGGTGGTGGCTACTGGGGCCCATTGCAGGTGCCACCTGTGCTGGAGGAGTTGGAGTTAGGCCAAGGGTGGGAGGAGGAGATGATGTCAGAGGAGCCTCAGCGCCCCCCTCCCCACATCCTCCTCCTCCTCCCCCGTCCTGTTCCCAGCCCCTCCCCCATTCCTCCCAGGCCAGTAGATTGGGGGGGGGGAGTGGAGGGGGTGGGTAGAGGCAGGGTTGTTTGTTTCTCCTAAGCCAGGAAGTTGTGCAGATGAGTCAAGGTTGAATGGAGAGCCCCAGGCAGTGCTGTCCCACCCCACCCTGACTCACCTGTCCCCCAGATCTCCTAATGCCCTCACTTAAGGGTTGGGGACCTGCCTCCTCCTGGGGGGGCGGGGGTCAATCCTAGGTACCTTAGGCACCGAACAGCACCGGCCCAGTGTCTGGAGAGCAAGTAGGGGGCTGAACTGTGAGTCTTCCCAGGTCCTCCCAGGTCTCAGCCCAGCCAAAAGGGTCTTGGTTCCTGTGGGGGAGGGGCCTGCAATGCCTCTACCTGCTAGTGGGCACCTTTGCCTCATCTCTTCTCTCCTTACTCATCCTGGATGCCTGTGGGTGATAAGACACGGGTAAGACCCTGGCCTTGCCTGGGGTGGCCGGGCATCTTCAGACCAGTGGGTGGATAAGACAGGTGCACAGTAATTGGCGCAGAGGCCCCAGCACAGTGTGGAGAGGGAGCCCTTCAGTCTGAATGTGGAAAATCCAGGAAGGCTTCTCAGAGGAAGTGGCTCGGCATTGAGGCCTTAAGAAATTTAGGCAGGAGGAGGGGCCTGGGGAAGGCACACAAGGTTTGGGGGCTGCTAGGGCGAGGGCCCCCAGGCTAGCTTCCTCCCTCCCACAGCAGCTGAGCCCGCCTCCTGCCCTCCTGGCTCCTGTCCTTCCGCACCTCCTTCTCCCCTTCTGTGCATCACTCGGCACTTGGGAAGGCGTTGCCACAACAGGCTCTGACAGCAAAGCGCTGGAAAAACCTGGGGCAGAGCCCAGAGGAGTGAATGCCCCACGTTCAGAAAGGGTGACACCGAGACGCTGAGCCCCAGACCATCCGTGCGTCATGGAGTCTGTTGCCGCTGCCTGTCTTGTGGTGGGGGACCCTCACAGCTCTTCCCCTGGACAACCTGGGCCTAAGGAAGAGCACTGGACTTGGAGCCCAAACACCGGGTTCCACTCCCTGGCTCACCTGTGATGGGGCAACGATGCTTCCTTCTCAGGAACTCAGTGTCCCCTGTGTTAAAATGGGCACAATCTACCCTTCCTCAAAGGCTCCAGGGAATGCCAGTTAGGGGGGAGCAAGGAGGTGCTGTGTAAACTCTGGGGGGCACCTTGACAGCAGGGGGAAGTCAGGAGGTCTGAGTCCTCTTGGCCCCTCTCCCCAGGACAAGGGCACAGGAGCAGCTGTGTCAGCCCCCTCTTCTCCCTCAGATGTCATGGAGCTGGGTCTGTCTCCACCTCATCTCAGCAGCTCCCCAGAAGACCTGTACCTGGCCCCTGGGACCCCTCCTGGGACTCCCCCACCTCCCGATGTTCCTCTGTCTGGGGAGGTGAAGAGGTCCCAGCCTCTGCCCATTCCGACCAGCAGGTAAAATGGGGTGACGGCTGAGGGGGGCCGGGGGGGAGTGGTCAGCGCCGGGGTAACGCACAGAAGCTTACAGTCAACTCCTCACTCCCCCCTCCCTCCCCCCACACCGCCCAGGAAACTTCTTCGACAGGAGGAGCTGCGGTCAACCTCTCTACCCTCCATCCCCAACCCCTTCCCCGAGCTCTGCAGTCCTCCTTCACAGACCCCCATTCTTGGGGGGCCCTCCAGTGCAAGGGGGCTGCTCCCTCGAGACACCAGCTGCCCCCATGTGAGTCGTCCTGGGAAAATGAAGGCAGGGAGCGTGGGGTGCTATGGGACAGGGCTGGACACAGTGCCGCCCCGGAGGAGGTGGGGGGATTTGGTCAGGGATCCCTGAGGGTAGAGCAGACGGGGGATGGGAAAGAACCATCCTTTGCCCTTCCCCGAGTCTTCTGCCGTTCCTGGGGCACAGGTCATAAAGGTGTACAGTGAAGATGGAGCCTGCCGGTCAGTGGAGGTGGCAGCGGGCGCCACGGCTCGCTACGTGTGTGAGATGCTGGTGCAGCGATCTCATGCCCTGAGTGACGAGAACTGGGGGCTGGTGGAGGGCCACCCCCACCTAGCACTGGGTGAGTTGGGGTGCAGGGGGCTGCCTGGCCCGGGAGTCAATGCTTCACACCTTGGGCTAGGCCGGTGGCCCATCCGGGAGGCCTCGTTGGTCTCCACTGACCCCTGCTCTTTGCCCTTGACCCTAGAGCGGGTCTTGGAGGACCATGAGTCAGTGGCGGAAGTGCAGGCTGCCTGGCCCATCGGCGGAGACAGCCGCTTTCTCTTCCGGAAGAACTTTGCCAAGTACGAGCTGTTCAAGAACACCCCAGTGAGTGTGTGTGTGGGGGGTCTGGGCACTGGGACACCCCGATCCCCGCCCTGGACCCTCAGTCCCTGACTCCTGGCTCCTTTCTCCCCCAGCACTCCCTGTTCCCAGAAAAGATGGTCTCCAGCTGTCTGGACGCACACACGGGCATATCCCACGAAGACCTCATCCAGGTGAGGGGACACCCCCATTTCACGGCATGTCCATGACTCCGCAGGAATGCCCAGTGCTTCTTGGCCCTTAAGCCTGTGCCTTCCGTCTTGGGGGTGGAAAACCCAGCGCAGCCCTAAGTGACCGTGGACAAGTCACTTTCTCTGCCTGACCATCAGTTTCTTTGTTAAATGAAGACAATAAATGTATGTGATGTACCTCCTGCCATAAAGGCAGGTCCTGGGAAGCCCTGTGTGTGTGCGTGTGTGTGTGTGTGTGTGTGTCTGTGTGTGTGTGTCTGTGTCTGTGTGTCTGTGTCTGTGTGTCTGTGTGTCTGTCCACCTCTAGGCCTCTCACCCTGCTCTCCTCTGGCCTCAGAACTTCCTGAATGCAGGCAGCTTCCCAGAGATCCAGGGCTTCCTGCAGCTACGGGGGTCAGGACGCAAGCTTTGGAAACGCTTCTTCTGCTTCCTACGCCGGTCTGGCCTCTATTACTCCACCAAGGGCACCTCCAAGGTGAGGTCTTGAGGGTGACAGCCCCAGCCCCTCAGATACCCCATCCCTGGTCCTTCTAGGAGCTGCCCCTTCTCTGTTGGAACTCCTGGACCTTCCCCCCTCTAGGCCCTGAGACCCACAGCTGCTCTTCTTTCCCTCCCAACTTACCTGCCTCAGGAGTTAGCAGTGGGAGAGGCAGTGAACTGAGTTCAAGTCCTGGCTCTACTTCTGTGTGCTGTGTGACTTGGGGCACCTCTCTGCTCCTCTCTGGGCCTGAATTCTCCCCAGCTGGCTTAGGGGGGCAGTGGTGGGGGATGGGGTCCGCCTTTACCGAGTGTTGCTCCCTTGTGCTGTGCAGGATCCGAGGCACCTGCAGTACGTAGCGGATGTGAACGAGTCCAACGTGTACGTGGTGACCCAGGGCCGCAAGCTCTATGGGATGCCCACGGACTTCGGCTTCTGTATCAAGGTGAAGAGCCTGGCCTGGTCTGGGAGACAGCAGGAGCTTCTAAGCACCAGATCCTACTGGGGCTTCTAAGCTCCCTCTGGGACCCCCAGACTCCTCTCCCTGCACCCTGCCCTGCCCCACGGAGACGGGAGACGGGAGACGATCTCTAGTCCTAAAGGCAGATATAGGACCAGCCAGTTTCCTCTCCCCGCAGCCAAACAAGCTTCGAAATGGCCACAAGGGGCTTCGCATCTTCTGCAGTGAGGATGAACAGAGCCGCACCTGCTGGTTAGCCGCCTTCCGCCTCTTCAAGGTGAGGTCCTGGCACTGGCTTGGGGGGCTGGCCCAGCCCTGGGGATCCCTGGGGTGAGGGAGGAGTTATAGGTCTGCCCTCAGGAAGGCTCCAGAATGAGGGGGCATCACAACCTTGCTCTCTCAGAATCCTTGGTCCAAGGCTGGAGTCTCAGCTCTGGCTTCAGGAAAGGCCCTTATCCAGGGGCAGAGATGTAGCCCTGCTCTTGGGGAGCTCTGGTCTGGGTAGGGGGCGGTGCCGCCGCCCAGCTCCCAGCACCTGCTTGACCTCCGGCCTTCTTTCTCTCTCCACCTCCCAGTATGGGGTGCAGCTGTATAAGAATTATCAGCAGGCACTGTGCCGCCACCTGCGCCCACCCTGTGTGGGTTCCCCGCCCTTGGTGAGTGTGCCCAGGGGTGTTAGTGTGGGGAGAGGGGGGAGGCACCCAGGCCCCGTGCTGGGGATACTTGGGTCCTGCTTTGACCCATCCCCCCACCCTGTCCAATCTGCAGAGGAGTGTCTCAGACAACACCCTGGTGGCCATGGACTTCTCTGGCCACGCCGGGCGTGTCATCGAGAACCCCCGGGAAGCTCTGAGTGCCGCCCTGGAGGAGGCCCAGGCCTGGAGGGTTTGTTCTGGGGACCTACTCTCCACATGGGTTTCCATGGAGTGGGAAGAGGAAAGCGAGGGGAGAGGGGAGGCCCCCCAGCTGCGGAAAGAGGCTCTGTATTCTTCAGGGGCTGGTAATACCCCAGCCACGCCCTGACCCCCCTGTGTCCCTCACTTGCTCTGCAGAAGAAGACGAACCACCGACTAAGCCTGCCCACCCCGAGCTCCGGCACGAGCCTCAGTGCAGGTGGGTGAGGGCCCGCCGTCCCCGGGAGTGGGGACTGCCGTGGCTTCTCTGCGCATTCCTCACGGGGGGGTTAGAATGAGGGTCCCCGCCCTGGAGTGACCGCCCCTCTGCCTCTCCTCACCCCAGCCATCCACCGCACCCAACCCTGGTTCCACGGACGCATTTCCCGCGAGGAGAGCCAGCGGCTCATCGGGCAGCAGGGCCTGGTAGATGGGTAAGGGGCAGGGCTGGGCAGGGCAGCAGCGCCGGGGACAAGAGAGACGTGGGTCAGGGTGGCAGCCGTGTGTCCTCGGGTAATATTGCCCTGTCTCCTGGCAGCGTGTTCCTCGTGCGAGAGAGCCAGCGGAACCCGCAGGGCTTTGTCCTCTCGCTGTGCCATGTGCAGAAAGTCAAACATTACCTCATCATGCCGGTGAGTAGTCCCAGGTTCCTGCTGCAGTGGAGATGCAGGAGTCCCAGCAACCTGCCCTCCTCGCCAGGCCCCCTCCCCACGCTGGCCCCCAGTGTGCCTGGGGTCTCCCGCTCTTTCCTTCCTCCTGCTCAAGCTGTGGGGACCTCAGCCCTGACCCAGGAGGGAGCTCATTCGGCCCCGGGCCCCTCCCTGACCTCCCACCCCCTATGGCCACACCCCAGAGCGAAGAGGAGGGGCGCCTGTACTTCAGCATGGACGAGGGCCAGACTCGCTTCACCGACCTGCTGCAGCTTGTGGAATTCCACCAGCTGAACCGCGGCATCCTGCCCTGCTTGCTGCGCCACTGCTGCACCCGCGTGGCCCTCTGACCACCACACAGGCAGGCCTGCGTCTCAGCCCACTCTGCGCTGCTCCTAGGGTGGACGCGGAGGGGGCAGGAAGTGGGGCCAGGGTCATCGTGAATGGCTGGGGGCTCCCCCACCCCGGTTTCCTCCTCTGCTCCTGGCCTCCCTCAGGCCGAAAGTGCTCCCCGCCTGGTCCACCTTAACTTCTCCTTAAGGGAAGGCACTTGGGTGGGCATCTCCCCTTCGTGGCGCTGCTCTGGGGCAGGGCATTATGGGAGAAATGGGGGCAGCCCCGGTGGTCTTTTGTTTGTTTGTTTGTTTGTGGGTTTTTTTGCGGTTATGCGGGCCTCTCACTGTTGTGGCCTCTCCCATTGCGGAGCACAGGCTCCGAACGTGCAGGCTCAGAGGCCATGGCTCATGTGGTATCTTCCCGGACTGGGGCACGAACCCGTGTCCCCTGCATCGGCAGGCGGACTCTCAACCACTGCGCCACCAGGGAAGCCCAGCCCCGGTGGTCTTTACACTCCACACTTTGTACAGACTGAGAGGCCAGTTGATCTCTGTTTTATACTAGTGACAATAAAGATTATTTTTTGGTACTCACAGGCGTGAGTTCTGTCTGGCAAGGCACGGTTAGGTGGAGTAGAGAGGAGGGGTGGGCACCCGTCAAGGCCTTGAGAATGTGTCAGATGGATCGAGGCCACATGCTGGCCAAGGCTGGATGTTTCTTTTTTTTTTTGTATATCCCATCTCCCCACTAATCCCCCAGTCATTTCTTAGAAACCTGGATGTTTCTTGAGGTCCTCTTTTGGTCATCTGAGAGTTTCCAGTGCCCAACATGGAGCCTGGCCCATAGTGGGTGCCCAAGGATTGCTTGTTAAATGAGTGAATGGACAGGGGACTGTCATCCAGGTGAGGTTTCCTGACAGGACCTAAAGCTATGGAGGTCACTCTGACAGGGCCTGGGAGCTGGAGATGAGTCAGACAGCATCCGTGTCCTTGGCAAGTCCTGGGCTACCTGGCGAGATAAGGAGTCCTGAGAAACGCACGATCTACCATCACCAAGTCACACAATGGCTCTGTTACCTTACCTCCAACAGGTCCCTGTGACGCACCCCCCACCCCCCGCCCTGTCAACCCTCTCCGTCCTCCCCAACCCCAGGTCTGCTCCCTGTCCTTACAGTTGGTTCTACGCCCTCCAGAAAGTCCTATAAATGGAACCCCACAGCACTCAGCCCTGTGGGTCTGGCTTCCCTCTCCAGTCTGTCCTTCAGCATCCAGAGTGATCTTTCCAGAATATCACTCCGCCTGTTCCCCCGTGCCTCCACTTCAGCCCCGATGCACCCTGCAGGGTCTGGCCTCTGCCCACTGCCCATACCAGCCCATGTTTTTGTCGAAGAGTTTTATAGTTTCAGCTCTTACATGATGGGGGAGCTTTATAAGAAAGGTATCAGACTGGTAACACCTGAACTCCTGCTCAATCTTCAGATCGCAAAGAGATAGACCCTCCCTCCACACGTGTGAACCTCAACGGGTCATTATTTTTGCCAAGAAATCAAGCTCCCTGAATCCAATGACTAGTTTATCGGAAATAAAAGGAACAGAGGAACATGTGAAATGACACATGGGGATACAATTACCAAAATCCAGATTGGGGAACTACAGAACAGATAACCCAGTTTCTTCTTCAACAACAAAAAATTACAAGAGAAAAGATGGGGTTTCAAGAAATTTAGACATCTATCAAGCAGATGTAATGTGTTGACCTATTTGATTCAAATCCAAACTAGAGAACTGGAAGAAGCATTTATGAGCAATTGGGGGAAATTTGAACTCTGATGAGATATTTGGTAATATTAAGGAACTATGGTTAACTTTTTAAGGGGTGATAGTGGTATTGTGGTTTTCTTTTTTTTTTTAAGTCTATACGTTTAAGAGATTCATTCTGAAGTATTGATGGGTGAAATGATGTCTCAGCTTTGTTTTTTAAATAACCCAGAGGTTAGGGGAGAGAGTGAGTATAGTCATAGGTTGACCATGAGTTGACATTGAAGCCGGGTAATTATTCTTTAATTTTGTATAAGCTTGAAAATCTAGAATAATTTAAAAAAAAATTAATGTAGGATCTCTCCCCAAATCTTTGAGATTGGCTGGGCACGAGGTGGTGGGATCCCATTTTGCAGGTGAGGAAACTGACTCCTCGTCGAGGAGAACTGCCCCAAATCAGTGGGAGAGCCAGGTCTGGCCCGTTCCCCTGCCCCTGCCAGGCTGACTTCCAGGTGGAATTCCCAAGTGGCCTGTAGGGGGGTCCTCCCCTGGAGAGCCCCCTCCCTTCTCTGCAGCCCTCTGGCTGATGGGAGGTGTTGTCCTGAGGTGACCTTGAGAAGGACCAACCTCTACAGCCAGCCCTCGGGCCAGGCTTGGCAGCTCCAGCAGCCACTCGTGACCGAAGCATCCCCAACCCTGGCTAATCCCAGGCTGGGGAGCCAGGCCTGTCAGACAGAGGTGGGCAGAAAGGCCTCATCCATCCTCAGCCTGGAACCTTCCGGGGTTTACCCTGAAGAACTTACTGCAGCCCAGGTGTGAGAGGGGTGCAGATTTTGTTTCTTTTTAGCAGGGTTTAAGGAGGCAGGGACCAGTGCAACCTGCTGCCTGCCACCTGCTACCTGCCACGGTTCCCAGAACCATCCTACCAGTGGCTGCCCCTCGGGCTCGAGCTGGCTGGTACTGGCTGTGTGCTGGCCATGGATGCCCAGGGCCACTTCTGAAGCATGGGTGCAAGGGGTCCAGGCCGGGGTGAGAGTAAAGGGGTTACAATGAGTCACCTCTTAAGCATGTCCAGGGATTTAGGCTGCATAAAAACAGGACACAGGACTTCCCTGGTGGCACGGTGGTTAAGAATCCGCCTGCCAATGCAGGGGACACGGATTCGATCCCTGGTCTGGGAAGATCCTACATGCCACGAAGCAACTAAGTCCGTGTGCCACAACTACTGAGCCTGCGCTCTAGAGCCCTCGAGCCACAACTACTGAAGCCCGCATGCCTAGAGTCTGTGCTCCGCGACAAGAGAAGCCACTGCAACTAGAAGCCTGCGCACCACAATGAAGAGTAGCCCCCACTCACCGCAACTAGACAAAGCCCAGTGCAGCAATGAAGACCCAGCACAGCCAAAAAATAAATAAATGTTAAAAAAAAAAAGCTCTATTTAAAAACAAACAAACAAAAAACAGGACACAGTGTCCCCTCACAGCCTAAGACACAGGGCAGGAGACAAAGCCCTTCTATGTCAATCAGCTAATTGGAGGATGTGAGACAGAGATCATTCCCATTTTATAAATGGGAAACTGAGGTTCAAAGAGAGTCCCCCCCGAGGTCATAGATGCAGTTAGGGACAGAGGTCAGACTCAGCCCATCTTGCGAGTGGTGAACACAGTCCTTCCTCGCCCTGTCCTTTTTCTCTGCCCCCTTCTTCTCAGGGCCACCATGAGGGACCTGGACTGCTGGGGGCCTTTCGAGGCAGCAGCTGGCTCAGCCCTGAGCTGGATACTGGAAATCGGCAGCTGGACATCCTTGGTGAGTGGCTGAGACTGCTGGCTTCCTGGAGGAGAGGCAGCAGTTGAGAATGCGGGAGACAAGGGCCCCTCAGCTCACAGAGAGACCAGGGCAAGATTCCCCAGCTCTGAGGATGCAGCATGACCCCCAGAGGCCAGACAGCAGAAGGGACTGCCAAGGAGAGCTGCAGTGCTAGATAGCGGAGGCCTGTGGTTATGAGGAAATCTGGGCTGGTGGGAGGAGGCGGGGCAGGTAGAGGCTAGTGCCTCAGATATTGTCTTTTCAATATTAAGTTATTGGGTTTGATTATCTTAAAAAATGTCCTTGTTAAAGAACATTTCAGAAACCGGTAAAAGACTTTGGGAAAGAAAAGGAAATTCCCCATATCTCCCCCTGCTGAGGACGCAAGCATTGAGAGAGGGTGGTGCAGGGCCATACGCAGGGAGCTGGCCCTAAAAGGCCTGTAGTACGTCATGGACACCGGCTCCTGGGGCTAGTGTGGCTGCTGTGAGCCTGGCGCCAAGGCGCAGAGCTGTCCTTGGCAGCAACTGGGCCTGTAGGAGGGTGTGGCCACAGGGTTGGCCTCCCTGCCTGCTCAGGTATGGAGGGCAGGGAGGGCTGGTGCCAACTTTCTGGACTCTGGGAAAAGGTGGGCATGATTCTAGGGGAGCCCATCTCTCCTAGGATGTCCTGGGAGGGTCATCCAGACAGACAAAACTCTGGCCAGTTCATTCTCTCCCTGCTCCCCAGACATCCTGGTCAATGAAATCTATGCAGCCTCCAAGTTCATGAGCGGAGGACCTCCTGGTGCAGGCCTGAGGGTTCCACCTCAGGTCAGTGACCCTGTCTGGCTCCTTCCTCTTGCTCCGGTGCCAGACACACCGAGGAGGGAGGGAGGGAGGAAAGGAGAGAGGCAGGGGAGCCCAAGGACACTCAGAAAGATCCTTTCTTCTGAACTGTCTACATGAGCACTTTTCAAGTGTTCCAGCAGGGGTTTGGGGGCAGGTTGGGGAGCTCTGGAGGGAGCACTGCCTTTATATCTGGGAGTTCGGCTTCATGGTGTATTTGGGAAAAAAAAAAAAAAAGGCTTCCACTACTGAACCACCTCTCTGGTCCAGCAGGCAGAAGAGAGGAGCCAGAGAGGTCAGGGGTTGGTCCAACTTGCACAGAGGTTGGGGAGTGGTGGGGGTCTGTAGCAGAACCTCAGCTTTGGGGCGTGGGCGTGAGGTGTGCAGTAGTCTCTTCAGACAGAGCTTTCAGCTGGGGTAGGGAGTTGGGAGAGGAGGCAAAAGAGAGAATCGTATGTTGGGGGAGTTTGATGTTGCAGACTGGCATCAAGAACCACAGGGGAAAAAAATAAAATTAAAAAAAAAAAAAAAAAAAAAGAACCACAGGGGAGTGGGTGATCCTGGGGGCTGAGGCTGGTGCTCGGGGGTCCCTCATGATGTCCATACAGGAAGGGGTGTTGGGAAGCGGTACCATTTGGGCTGAGAAGGGTCGTGCTGTACCAGGCCCTAATGAGGCCTGAAATTCAATCTCATGTGGGTTGAGCTATGATGGCTTCTAGCGTCCTCTTGCAGGGCCGCGTCTACCCCAAGGAAAGGGCAGGTTTTTCTTTCCCAGGCACCTGGAGGGCTGTTTAGCCGGAGCTGTGTTTTCATGGTAAGCAGTTTGTTTTTACTCGGATTGGGTTTATCTTGTGGTTCTGGGGAGACTGAGGGAGAGTGGTAAGCCAATGCCACTCTGTTAGGGCCGCCACGTGGATCCCTCTAAGGTCTCTGTAGTGGCGCTGGGCCCTGTGACCTTGGAGTGTGAGGGGAAGCTGTACACGGGGACAGAACGGGCCACCTGTACCCCCACAGACCCGCAGCCGATGGACGTGTTCCTCTGCATTTACTTGCCCAACGCACGCCCTGAGTTAGATCCAAGACAGTGTAGAAGTGCACATTCCTACCAGGCATTCCAGGGTATCTCCTTTCTTCCCTCTCCTCTTACATCCATCAGCCCGATACAGGTTCCCACCTTTTGGTTCCCTTCTCCCAAGCTGAGCCATCCGTCCCAGACATCTAAGGGATGAGCTGGGGGTGGGAAGGGGCGGCTGGGTGAGTAGGAGTGAGGATGCAGCCGGGGACCCATCCTACAGTCGCTCTGGCTCCGCAACACGTGCGCAAGATGATCTGCACCTTCCGCAAGCCCTTCCTTTCTCCTCTCCCCCCAGGAACAACCCGGCCTGCACGCGGTCGCCGGCGCCGACGGGCTCGAGCTGTCGCGGAGCTGCGGGCACCTGTCTGGACAGAGCCCCCTCCGCCTCGGAGGCTGAAAGGCCCGCCGGCTTCGCCAGCGGGTGCGCTTAGGGGGGCGGTGCCTGACTTTCAGCTGACCCGGCCCCGCCGAAGCCGCCGAAGATGCGCCGTCGATCCCCGGGCCAGAGGGAGTAGGGTCGCGCGGCGCCACAGCAACGAGCCCATCCGTCGCGGGGCAAGGGGATTAGTTTGCTCTTCATTGCGAGTCGGTGGGCTGGGTGAAGGCCTCTAGAGACCAGGCGGGTGGAGGGAGGTCTGAGCGCCTCATCCAAGCACCGCGGGGCCTCCGGGGGCGAAGGCCAGGGAAGACCTCGCGGGCGCGGCGGTCCAGCTCCCTGGGACCCTCTCCCCCGCCTCCCGGCCGCCCCGAGCCGGCTCAGCCGCGCGGCTGCAGTGACACCCAGTGGCGGTGGCGGGAAGTGCAAGCGCCTCTCCCTCGGCTCCCGTTGTTAAGGTCCGCGCCTCTCGAGGTTCCCACTCGTGGTTACGAGCGGGCACCCCCAGGGGAGAAGGCCTCGCTTTGCAGACTGCCCGGCGGGGCACTTCCCCTTCCCCTCCCCCAGTTTCCTCCCCTGCAGTCGCCCGAGCGCTAGGAGATCCTGCAAGGCTTCAGTGCCCGGAAGGGCGGGGCGGGGCGCAGCGGCGGCGCTGGGCTGTGACCCTGAGCAGTTTCACTTCTGGATCCTGCTCGGGGTGTGAAGGGAGAGTACCTGGGCTGGGGGAGGAGGGGGGACACACGGCTCGCCGAGGTCCAGCGCTCAGGACCCTAGTAAAGGATGGGTTTTTACTCCTGGGGTGTCACGCGACCCACGCCTTCCTTCATTTTCCGTCCCCCCTTCTCGCCCCATGGGTTCCACTCCGCTGTCCCCGGAGCTACCGCTCCTCCCCAGCAGCAGCCGCCTCCGCGGGGGCTGCCGACCCCCGGAGAGGCCCCGAGAGGCGTGGGCGGCAGGAGGAGCGAGCTGTGAAGCCGCAGGCAGGGGGTTAGGCTGCGGGCTGCTGAGACGCCGAGCTGTTTCTCAGAAGTGCCGCTGCCCCTCCCCTCACACACCCCTCAACTCCCACCTCGCACCGCACTCCTTCCCCCACTCCACCCGGCCTTCTCTTTCCTCTCCCAGGCACCCCCAACCAGGGAATCTGGCGTCTGAGTCCACAAAGAGCTAAGAGGACGTCCTGACAGAGGACAGGGGCCCGGGGCTCAGACCCAACCTCACTGCCCATATTCAGAGTCTCCCACCATTCCACTGTCCGTCCCTGTCCCCACTCCCCACCCCCAGCTTGTGGGCCGGGATTGGAATTTTATAGAACGGTTTTCTACGACCACTTGGGACAATCATAGGCCGCCATCACCCTGGCTCCAGCGCCCCACCTCCCTCCCAAAGAGGGAAGGAAGAGGGGACAGAACCTTCTTTCTCTCCTATTCTTGTTTCTGGAAGATGGGAAAGGTCTGGCTGGAGCAGTGGGGTTGAGGCCAGGCTGTCTCTGGTGGAAAGAACTTCAGAAATCCCTGACTCCAGGGAAAAAATCAAGGCGCAGAGAGGGAAAGCAGAGTGCCCAGGGTCACCCAGAGAGTGGCAGGGCTGGGACTGGCACCCAGGAGTCCAAGTACTCAGCTGGAGTCTGCACAAGGCCAGCATTTGCTTTACGGAGACTACAGAGCTTTGCTGGATTCACTGACTCTGCCTGTTTCCCCCCAATGCACAGACACACACAGACACACACACACACACACACACACACACACGAGTCTAGGGGAGGGCAGGTAAGGTTTGTGAGAGGGAGGTGGAGGTGCTGAGAATGTGATTCCAGTGGGGGCAACACAGGGACTGAGACAACGGAAGGATGAGCCTGGGGGAGGAGGCGGCATCTGCCCCCCTAGTTCCCATCCACCCCCGGGGCTGTGGTTTATTTGACTAGGCAGTTCTTCTGGGCCAGGGGGCCTGGGGGGCTGGGGGTTGAGGGGAAAGGTGAGGTGATGGGAAAAGGCTGCTCTGGGGCTTCCTGCCCCCTCAGTCCTGGGGAAGGGGGGCAATTTACATCACACGCAGGCCCTCTAACCTCCATTCTTTCCACTGCAGGCTCTTTCCCTGGGTATGTTCCTGTTATTCTGGGGGAAGCTCTGTTATTTGGGGGGAAGGGAGGCAGCTGCCTACTTCACAGGTCAAGACAGAGTTAAAAACAAAACCGCAGCAAATTCAACACCCCGTGTCCTTCAGGGACTTTCCATGACACCTTCCTTCCCCCCTCTCCCCCAAGCCAGGGAGTACCTCCCCAGAGGGCCTCCCCACCCCAGGTGCAGTGGCTTTTGGCTTTTATGCAAACAACTGTCTGACTGGGAATGCTCTGCAGCCCGACCTTGTGTCTGTCCTGGCTGCAGGACCTCCTCTACCAGTCCTCAGCGTTCCTGGCCTTCCCAGAACTCCCCCCCCCCCCCCCCACCCCCCGCCACTCTTCCTCAGACTCTGGATTCTAGGGGATGGGAGGGAGGGAAGGGAGCTAGGTCTTGTCCCCCTGCCTGCCCTCGGGTGGAAGTTGCCTGCAGGTGGAGGTTTGCACCGCAGCCTGGGTGAATGGCCTGCTTGTGTTGAGGGATGGGGGAGGAGGAGGGTGCAGGTGTAGGGAGGCCTCCAACGCCAGCCCCACCCCCACCCCCAAAGCATCCACTTAGTTGCCAAGAACTAGTCAAGGAAGCTGTCGTCAAGCTGGAAGGAAGTCCATTCAGCCCCAATCCCACACCCAGCCAGCTGCCGAGCTCTCTCCCCAGCAAAGGAGTCTCCCCGCTTCCCTCTCTTCTGAGCTGCTTCTGCTTTGGGAAGGGAGTGAGGATGGGGAAGGCCACAGACCATCCTCTCCAAGGCTGAAAATCAGCTCCTGAGGGGCTATCTTCGAATGTATTGAATGCTCCAGTACACAGGCAGGCTGCAGAGCCATTCCTCTCTCCCTGGCCTTAGCGCGGAGACTGGAAAACCTGCTGGAGAGTCTCAGGGCCGTCTAGTGGTGCTGAAGGGGGGGATGGTGCTGAAGACAGAGCCAGTGAAAGCTGCCACCGACCCGGCCCCGCATTTGCTAGCCCCTAACTTCAGGAACGTCTTCCTCCTGCCTCTTCCACAGAGGAGGGGAAGGTAAGGTGTTCTGGATGAGGCTAAGCAGAAGGCCAGACCACCCCTCACACTCTTTTCCGACCTCTTCTGAGAGAGAACGGAGGATATCAAGACAGGAAGAGAGCCGCGTGATCCCGATGCCCTTCTCCTAGGAGTTTCCCCCAGCGCCTGAGGCTTGGGCCTCCAAGTATCTACAGACTACATTTCAATGTGGCCGAGTTCTCCTGCCAGTTGAGTTTCCCAGCGTGGATGTTTCTGAGACCCCAGAAATGGAAAAATCAGGACTTGCCTATCTTTCAGGAAGGATCCCTGCTGGGAGGGAGGGCGGACTGGTGTCTTGGAACTGGGAGACACCGTGCCAAATCTGTCGAGCTTGTCAGTCCAGGCCCCGACCTCCTCAGATCCCCTTAGTGAACTAAGGGCCAGTGGAGCCAGAACCCCACCATGGGGACGTGGGGGCCAGCGGCAGGATACCGACGGCAGGTTCAGCAAGGCCTCAGGCAAGATGTTTTATTTCAATGATAATTCTCTTTCTCTAGGTATCTGAACTTTAAGAAAGAGCCGGAGGGGCTAAATTAAGAAACTATTCCTAGGGGCAGAATTAATTCCATTTTCTGACAGCAGCAACGACAAATGATAGGCATGCACAATGACTAATTTTAAACACACCAGTATTTTTTTTTTTATTTTTCAGTGTAAAAACCAAACATAATAAAGAAACTTTGAAAACTATCAGCAGGGTTGTTTGTGACGCGGGAATGCATTCATTACGGTTCTGGCGAGGCGAGCATTGCTACATTGCAGAAGCTGCTTCTTTACACAGTCTTTACAGAGGCGTAGGGCACTACAGGGGTCCAAGGGGTCAGACTCCAGGTAAAATCAGAGAGGAGTCAAGAGAGAAGGTCACTGCTGGGCAGGGAGGGCATTTCTGAGAAACCCAGATGAGCGTGCTGTGAGCACAGGCTGTGTCAAAACCACTCGGCAAGTTCTCTCTCCCTCACTCCTGGTGGGAAGGCCACCCTGAGCCCCAAACCATGTTCCCTTCTCTGCCCCGCCCCCGCCCCATCATTCTGCAGACAAGGGTCATCCACAGACCACACGTGTGGTGGCTTTGGCAACCAGAAATTTAAAATAAACTATGGTTTTTCCAGTAGCCAAAAGGATCCCTCACCAAAGCTCACAGACTGAGAACCTGAGCATGCAAAACCACAGTCTGGGTGAAGGGATGTCTGCTTTTCAAATGACCTGCTAATTCTTTGCAACCCACAGTAATTTGGTTTCTGTGAACCCACAGAAGCAGGCCCACCGAAAAGGACCTTGTCTGCTAACCTGGAAAAGTCCTTGTGTAAATGAGTCATTGGCAATGGGATCAGTCATTTTTAAGGCTGCCCCATTTTCCTAACATGTCAAAATGTCTGTTCTCAGTCTTTTTAGGAGAGGGTGAAGCAAAGCTGCACCCATATTCAGAAAATGAACTAGGACCCCCAGATGCATGGCATGGGCTTGGGAGAAGGCGGGTGGCATCATGGGACTGCTCTCCAGGCTTCTAGAGTGGGGTGGATGGAGAGATGGACAGTGAGAACCATTTGAGGAAACTCTAAATCGCTTGAAGAATTAATGGTTGAGGGCTCGTAAGACGGTGAGGGAGCAAAGCTAGGCTACTTCCCTGGCTTCAAAGCCATGAAGTATCTGTACCATGTGGTTCACACACATTGGTTCTAAGGCTCAGCATATTCTTTACTCTTAGGCATTAAAACAACATGAAGGAAACATGTGTGTTAGCGATCAGTTGCCTTCATTGGCAAGTGAATTACTATCACAGTCCTAGTATGGTCTTTGAATATTTTCCATGTCTTTAAATCTAGAAACAGTACATATAGTGGAAAATTTGCAACCATCCAACAAAATCTGCCCCCACGCACACAAAAAACAGAGTAACTTTACCTAATAGACAAAATTACATGAAACCTCACAACGTCCTTGGGAGGTAGATATTGTTATGTCCTTACATTTAAAAAAATCAAAACATTAACATTCCAGTTTCAAATAACAACTCAATATCAGCATATAAGACACTCCAATATTGTAATATTCAGAGGAAACTTGCCTCCAGCTTCTTCAAAGTGCAAAGACCTGTTTCTCATGGTTTTTTTTTAATTTTTAAAAATTCATTATTTATAAATTTATTTATTTTATTTATTTATTTTTGGCTGCATTGGGTCTTCGTTGCTGCGTGCGGGCTTCCTCTAGTTGCAGCGAGTGGGGGCTACTCTTCCTTGTGGTGCGCAGGCTTCTCATTGCAGTGGCTTCTCTTGTTGTGGAACACGGGCTGTAGGCGCACGGGCTTTGGTAGTTGTGGCACGCAGGCTCAGTAGTTGTGGCGTGCGGACTCAGTAGTTGTGGCACATGGGCTTAGTTGCTCCGCGGCATGTGGGATCTTCCCGGACCAGGGCTCAAGCCCATGTCCCCTGCATTGGCAGGCGGATCCTCAATGACTGCACCACCAGGGAAGCCCCTGTTTCTCATGTTGCTGGCATGATATGGGACACGCTATATACAGCTTGGGTAAACAGAGGTACAGTCTTGTGCTTTGAGCTCATACAAGTCAAAAGCCTACACCTCTCTTCTAGGCTCTTCCAAGTCCACAGTCTCCGACCCTGGGTTCACTCATCATTCTCAGAACTGTTCAGTCTGTTAGGCTTAGAGAACAGAGTCCTTTCCCTGGGATGACCCAGGTTTAGCATTTGGTTTCAGGTCAAAATTGTCCTCTTTACAGGCACTTAAATCCCAAATCATTCTGCTTTTCTGAACTCTGCCTATAGAGATTCTCTGAACTATACTTTCTGTCTGAGCACAAAAATAGCTCCTAATTCTTTAAAAGATAAGAGAGATCACTGTGTATCTCTTGTCTTCTGCACAGCCTAATTCTATTTTCTAGGACAGAAGTTTCATCACTCCACTTTCTTGTCTCTTCTTGAGCTCAAACTCCTAATTCTGAGTCTTTGTCAAAGAGCCTGGACACTCTGAGAACTCAAATCTTAAGTATCACAGAGTTTCCAAATCTCCACTAGAGACCAACGTACCTACTCATAGTGGAGTACACTTTAAAGTTAGGACTTCAAACACTAAACATTTAACATTTCCATTACAGTCTTACTGGCTGTCCTGGGATATAGATCAGAAGTACTGCTTTTTTCCCCTGAAAACATTCTAAATCTCACATTTCGCAGGAGGAAGAAAAGCAGAGGATAAGAACAGTGATACAGAGGCTACCTGGAAAAAATGTTATGTTGACGTGAGATTTGTTAATAACACAGCGTTTCAACTGAGTAAAATTTTGTGTTTTTAAACATTTATCTTTGCAAAAGAAATCTGAGGTCGCTTTACTTCTGGGTCTGGCAAAATGTTAAGCCTTGCATTTAAAAGGTGAGACATTTTGTCACTGACAAAGTCAGAAGCTGAGTCAGGAACAGTTCAGAATGGGTAACAAAGCATATGATTAGCTAGCTTCTCTGTGTCAAGGCTAATACATCTTTTTGGGAGAATGACTTAGGGAATCGAAAGCCTGGTGGATTTATTAACATCTCTCTTTTTCCTGGTGGTGTTGGTGGAGGGTAATGGGGGAGACACCTCTGTTTTGTTCTCTGCCAGGAGGAACACCTATGCAACAACTCAAATAGCGATAAGGAACATTTGGAGAGCCAGCTCTCGGTCTTTTCCACACTCATCCCAATTCTGCCACCTTGGCTGTAAGGGGAACTTTTCACGGGTTTGGTTGTTCCTCAGATTTCGGTCTCCTGGGTGTGTGGTGGGGGCCTGGCTAATAAGAGGGTTGGTGGGAAATGGAGAGAGAAGACCTATGAGGCTCACGTTCACAGGGACTCTGGCTGAGAAAGGAAACGTGCTGTCGGAAGCTGCCAGGGGACCTCACCGTCCAGCAGGGTCAGATGTGAATCCTCCTCGGTCCTCCTTTCTAGGCATCTTGCTAAGGTTCTCCTTTACCTTCTTTCCCACCCCCAGCAAGGGAGGGGGTTAAGTAGAATAAGGATTGCCTGCAGAAGTAAGTGTTTACCTGTGTTGTGGGAACGACTACATACCACCTGTTTCAACTTCAAGATTTAAGAATGTGGAGTTTCCACATATACATTTTCTCTGGACTTGACATGTCCCAGTCCAGGCTCAGAATGCGACAACGAAAGTGCAGCCTGTGTGAGTGGTCGCCCCACTCAGAAAACTGACCTCAGAAGAATGGAAATCATTCAGAAAATCCATTACTCACAGAGGAAATGAGGGTTATACTTACAGAGTTCCCAGGTTGGTGGGATGGGCCTTAGTTTCACTATCTTAAGGTGCAGGAGTTGGTCTCTTCACTAAAGACTTTCCCACTAAGCTGGTAGAAATGCTCGCTTTCCCTAGCTTTCTCTCCTACTAATCCTTGCTTTCAAACGCTCTTTCTTTTGTCCCCTGAAGAGTCAACATGATGTGTGATATTTCAAGAATATAATAAGCAGCTCTTCTTTCACAATGGGTATAAGCAACCTGGTGTAGCTTGGAGTCCAGGATTATGGAAATACAGTGAGGTACTGAAGACTACACACCGAAATACATCTAGTCTTTTAGCTGAAATCTCAAACGTGTTGGGACTGTTGCCATGGAATTTCACAAGATCTTTTTTCCTGAGACAGACGCCATGCTACAAAGAAGGATAAACCATTTGTGCAGTCTGTGGTGGAACATTTTAATTACTGGCAGCACATAAACGAGTTGAGTTTGAGCCTAATGCATAAAGCCCTTTCGAAATATCAAGGCAGATACATAAAACGCTAATCCACCAGGAATTGTGGGTTCTTGGCTCCGGTAGAAATGTTCACACAGCTGACTCTTAATTTGTAAACAGGCTCCATGAAGTTGTTCCTGGAAGCGGATTTATTTTCCCTAACATAGGTTCTTTAAAAGGAGAGAAAAAAAAAAAAAAAAAAAAGGCTTTGGCAAGCAGCTGCAGGTGCCCGTTTGTGTGTACACTCTGGGGCAAGATCAAAATCCCTTCCTGTTTTTTGTTCCTCTCCACCATCCTCTTCACACCACAACTCAGTGGTTAAAGGAAAAACTTAACAATACTTCCATTTTCACACCAAAGAAATGTGAAACGTATATTCATATACATACTCTTCTGCTTAATACCCATACATTAAGAGGTTTAAAAAAATAATTGTGGTTCCTGCATAATCACATAAATTTAAAGCTGTAAAGGACCTTCGAGAACATCTGAATCCAATTCCTAGTTCTATGGTTGAGGAAGCTTAGTTTTAAGAGTTAAGTGATTTGCCCAAAGTCACTTGGCTAAGTAGTGGCAAATATGGAATAAGCAGATCTTGTGACCCTCAGTCCAGTGCTACTTCTACATTTTTTTAAAATTTTTTTTATTTATTTATTTTTTGCAGTACGCGGGCCTCTCCCGTTGCGGAGCACAGGCTCCGGACGCACAGGCTCAGCGGCCATGGCTCACGGGCCCAGCCGCTCCGCGGCATGTGGGATCCTCCCAGACCGGGACCCGTGTCCAGCAGGCGGACTCTCAACCACTGCGCCACCAGGGAAGCCCTACTTTTACGCTTATTACATCACTTTTCCTTGATAGCATGTCTCCCATAATTAATGACAAAGATGACCGACACATCTGCAGAACCAAGGTCAGACTTCCGGGAATCTTTGTGGAATACAACAGCTCCATTTAA